AATATCTCAGGTACTTATTGGTTTAGAATTATCAAACTTTGTCAATTAATGCATCTTGAGTCCTCAGAAAATTTCAAATAAAAAGGTAGGTCACCGTGACCTACTTATGGTATTTTATAGCTATTTTGAAATATCTTCAGTCCAAACTGGCTAAGAATCAACAAACTTCGTCAGTTCTTGCATCTTGGGATATTTAGAGTTAGAGGCTTCATATAAAACTGATAGATTCTACAATTTATCAGAAGAGTGATTCAAGGCCCTTGGGCCTCTTGTACCTGTAAAAAAAAAATTAAATCAAACTTAATAAGAAAAATTAAGCAAACAGATGGCACAAGCAAGAGGCCCAGGGGCCACATCACTCACCTGAACACATTGACTAGGAAAAAACACAGATCAGAACTGAAAAGTTTACTGAGGGGGGAAGGGGGGGTATTCCTACCCAAGGGCCATGATTTGAACAAATTTAAATCTTCAATACATGAGGATGCTTACTTGTCAGTATGACTAAACATAGCTTTTCTGTTCTTGGGATTTTTGTTTATTTTTCTATGTAAAACTTTGATCATCCTTTGTGGCCCCACCCTATCCCTGGGGGTTATGATTTAAACAAACTAAAATCACTGAGGAGGATGATTCCATAAAAATATCACTAATCATGGCTTTGAAGTACTTGAGAAGAAGATTTAAAAAGATTTCCCTATGTATTCCTATGTAAAACTTTCATCGGCCATTGTGACCCCGCCCTTGAATCTACACTACCTGAGGATGATTCCACATGAGTTTCATCTTTCCTGGCCCAGTGGTTCTTGAGAAGATTTTTCCTATATATTCCTATGTAAAACTTTGATCGGCCATTGTGGCCCCACCCTACCCCCGGGGGTCATGATTTGAACACGCTTGAATCTACACTGCCTGAAGATGATTCCACGTAAGTTTCATCTTTCCTGGCCTAGTGGTTCTTGAGAAGAAGATTTTTTAAAAATGCCATTAATTTTTTACTAATTCATAATCATCTCCCCTTCGAAGAGGGCGTGGCCCTTCATTTGAACAAACTTGAATCCCCTTTACCCAAGAATACTTTGTAGCAAGTTTGGTTGAAATTGGTCCAGTTGTTCTTGAGAAGAAGATGAAAATGTGAAAAGTTTACAACAACGACAACGACAACAACGACAGACAATGGACAAATTTTGATCAGAGAAGCTCACTCGAGCCTTTGGCTCAGGTGAGCTGATAAAGGGGCATATCGTAAGCACAAGAATCCATAATAGAGAGAATGTACGTGCTTTATATATACTATGGTCAGTGTGAAGATAAATCAGGTGAATTTGTCACAATTCAGGTGATTCTGTCACCTAAATTGCATGATAGACATCTACTAATTATTTCTGTAAAGTCAGTGAGACTGTCTATGAGGAGCCATAATCATAGAAGATAGCTGGGTTCTATCTTATAGTCATGTACAAGTTTGCATTATATGTATTCTTTCTCCATTTCATACTCCGTATGTGTGGTACGCATAGTAATCTTTTAGAACAATTCCCAGGTAGCTCGGACTTCAGTAAGACGTGGCATTCTCAACACTATGTAACCAGCGCCTGTCAAATAGCGAAAAGATTCTCACTGGTTAAGAAATTAATGACATCAGGAATTTTGAATTGTTGTTGACGTCGATGAGACGACTTACGCTCCACCTCTTTGCCAGACGAAACAATGTTATTGGTTATTTGATACACTAATTGGCATTTGCCCGAATTTCTATCCTATGTATATTTCAACAGTGAAGGAAAGTTGTGTAAATTTCAGAAGCTTTTGGCTCGCCTGACCACTGCATTGTGACCTGTCACCATTGTATTATCGATTCCGGTGTTCACCATTCTTCTGTAGCACATTAAGCATACATATTCTTGATGCAGAGTATTTGTTGATTCACTGGTATATTTTCCATTTTACGATCTTGTCCTGAGAGTACATGTCTTAATTTTAAGACCCTAACTTAATTATGCCAGGACAGTTTACACATAAACTGTGCATTCATCTTTTCTCTGAATCTTGTTTGCCATTTAAACAGATACTCTAGATACATTTTTTTGTTATTTACCCCATTTAAACAGTTCCTACATCTATTTCATTTCATTGCTGACAAAAACATTAAACTTCAAAAAATAAAACTTGTGTTTATGTAACATATATCAGCAATGTATCTAATGTGTTTTTCATTTTATGGTGCTAGTCCACGTCAATCGTTTTGATAGCCCCTTGTACATATTAACTGTTACACCAGATCATGATTGTTGGATAATGCTACGAATGAAATCATATGAAAGAGGTTCATGGAAGTAATATTTAGTTTCTTGTTAAATGTTTAATGTATTGAACTCTTAATAGAGTAGGGTGTGATTTTTAAAAAATGAATTTAAAAAAGATTTATTGATAATAATCATCAAATTAAATCAAATTACTTTCTTGATAATGAGTAGGATGAGTTAACCATGCATCGGACACATACCTTGCTTCGGACAACTTAAGGCAATAAACTCTCTTTCAATTTCAGAGTTCCATGTATTTATTTGTTTCTGACTTGAAGCTGAGGATTTAAATTTTTTGATAAAACCAATTGTAAATGTTATGTTTTGATAAGAAGGCCTTGAATTTGTGTCATATTTTACATCATCAAAGGGGAGTAACCAAAAAATAAAGATTTTGCCGTTTTTAGAGTTATCGTTCTTTAAATTCGACTTCCACGGAACGTGTCGGACTTTAGTGAATTTTGTCAGGGATGGGTAATTTTACATAAATTATAAAGAAATTTCACTTCAATGTTTGTTTAATTCTTATTAGAGCTGGTTTTTACTAGTATACTCATTTAACCGTACATCGGACTGAAATTAACCATGCATCGGACACTTTCTGATGCAAAGTTAATCACTACCATTTTCATACAGAACCCAACTGATATTTGTTTTTTGCGGAAAAAGAAAATAAAAATTCTAAATTTACAGTCAAAATACAAGTTATCGATATATTACGCCAAGAGTCGTACTCAATTTATTTCTACAAACCAAAGTATTTTAACGCATGAGAAAAAGGCGCGAATTACCTCATTACAAGCATTTTAAAGTCTTTTTAAGGCAGAGTAAGGCATCTCGAATCTCTCCATATATGTGCAACGATATCGTCAAATAAATATAATTTGATGGTTATTTCTTAGATAAAATATAAAAGTATATCCATATCAAGGATTTTAAAGCACTATGATAAAGGTATGATATTTTCCCGGTGTAAATACCATCTGTCCGATGCATGGTAAATAATGTCCGATCCATGGTGAATTTTAAGCGATTTTTAAAAACTTGATTTTTGATAATATTTCCTCAATAAAAAAATATAATTGTATACCAAATTTATATTTCGATCACATACTAAATGTTAAGCTCCATTTTGATAACTTTCCGTCAGTAGCAATATCACTAGAACTTGCTGAAGTACAAGGGTGTCCGATGCATAGTGAATTCACCCTAGGGCTGTGTATTGAGCAAAACAATTTGATACGTTATGATATTTTATAATGCGATATCCGATATTGGATTCTTTAATGTCTATCAAAAAAGTCTTATAATTCATTTAAAGCATGAATTTCATTAAAACTAATTGTTTTATAACCCATTTTGAAGTTCTTGTCTCACCGTCATAACAGATTACACTTCAAATTCAAACTTTTAATAACTGTGAAAACAACATGTCAAGTTGTCTATGTATTTTGTACTATTATATAAGAAGATTATTTTCGTAATTTTCATTGGTTGAAAGAACATCGCGTGATATTCCTCCTTTTGTGATGTCGACTGAAAGCGCGTCCGCGAAAAATGATATCGCACGACACAACCAAAGTTACGTAAAACGTGACGTCATAATATAAGAAGCATGTTTTAACCATTGTGACGTAATGACAGCCGAGTCTGTTCAGTTAGGACTGTGTCAGCTAGTACATTCGCTTTGAGTTATTATATAATATAACTATTATGGACTTCAGTGAACAGTCAATATGTGGTTATAAGGACTCATGGCAATTGATATTGACCTCAGACACAGAAAATGATAGCGACCCCGCAGGCTCGTTTGCTATCACTTTCTGTGTCTTCGGTCAATATCAATTGTCTTGTGTCTTTATAACCACATATCGACCTACACTGAAGTCCATAATTGTATAAAATTTTATCTAAGATGTGCTATTTCCTTAATGATTATAGCATTATTGATCAGTTTTAATTCAAAACAGTGAAAAATATAACCTTTGGTTAATTATTGAAATTTCCAACTTTTTCACTAAAATACAAGAAAATTTGCCTGTTTGATACATATTGGAAGTTATTTTTTTGATACGATACACTCTTTAATATCGATACGTATTGAATATTTGATATACTGACACAGCCCTATAAATGAGATAATGGCACTGCATGGATTTAAATTTATCAAAAATAATTCATGTTTGAAATCCTGAAAACTTTTTAGTTAATTGTATCAAAAATTTCTTTTTCTAGAATATACTTCAGACACACCTTACATAATAGGAGGAACTGTTGGTGGATTAGCTGCTATAATGGTTGTAGCCCTCGTCATTATATGCTTGATAAGGTGTCTCAAAAGGTAAGCTCCCTACAATATACAGTCAAACTTCATTATATTAAACTTGAAGGGACCAAGAAGAAAACTTTGAGGTATCTGAGGATTTCAGATATTGAGATTAACTCCAAATCACTAGCATTTTGGCTGACTTGTTTCATACCAGTTGATAGGCCTTTGTTTTTATACTGAATTTAACTACGAAATGTTCCATCTACCTAAACAGTACATAAGGCTCACGATAGTGTGACAGGGGGGTGCTTCTCCTTTGCACCTGTATGTCCTCTTCACTGATGTATGTTGTTTAAAGATTTTATGAGATTGATCACTGTTCATTATCTTCACCCTTTTCATTCAACTTATCCATGGTGTTCAAGATACTGAAGTAAGAGATACTTACATGTAAGTTCAACTGTAAATATTAATAGCTTTTAAAAATGTTTAATAGAGACATCTGATTTTAAGAGCCAAATGAACTAGTAGTGTAATTTCCATGATTATTGATAGAATAAACTCTGTGTAGACTATGAATGCCGCTCCAGACAAGCACAGATGTTAAGAGTCTGTGCTGTTGGTCAAGATGGTTCTTTCTGTTTAAATTGCGTTGTATTATAATATATCACCTGAATCATTTTGTATAATTGCAGATCAAAGGAATCTACTTCCAAATATCCACCGAGTGAACCAATGGAATATTTTTATGATTACAATACTCCATTTTATGACAATAGCTCTAAGAGAGGAGGTATTTCATCTCATGCCCGAATGAACCCAGCCTTTAACTATGACGATGGCAGCTTCTATGATACCCGTAACAGGATGTATCCACAGGAAGATGATGATTACAGAGGATATCGATGGCAGGAGGCTCGAGGGGATTTTGATCTTTGATATTTTTTCCTTTGAACCTGTATATTAATCAAGTAGACAAAACATATCGAAATTTTATATGTCCAAACATAATTTCATCATTATTCTTTATTGTATGCATATTTTAATTGTGTGAGTGGTTTTAAAGTGGACATTCCCTATACTAAGAGTTCTTTCTTATAATTACCCCAGTGAGGTTTTTGTTTGTAATTGACGAGTACATGATTTATACTTGCATGAAGGTGCACTGAGTATAGTTGATTTCTTGCCTGTACAAGTTCACAAGAATGCATATCTTTCTTTTTAAATTACATTTTAATTAATATAGGTATTAAGAGGGGGCTTTTTCTTGTGCAATAACTAAAATCAAAAGCAATATTTACAATCATATTCAATTCATACATATTTTTTTGATTTGTTAATTAATTTTCACCGTTTCAAATATAATTTGAAAACCTCAAAATCAGATGATTGATAATGTGCAAAATTTATATGTGGAAATTCATGTCATGGAGCATGAAAATTCTGAAAGACTTCAATAAAAGCTCCATTTTAAGAATTACTGCAAGATTAAGACACCTAGTGAGGCTGAAAATTCTTCATCTTGAGTTGTGTGTTGCAATTATATAATTTCCATAATCAAAGCTTTCAATCTAGTGTGAAATTTGATAGTTACATAATATATTATATATAATATGCTAGAAAATGTATTAAGAGTGCATTATACCCTAAATCATATACTGTTACGAACTACGTATTTTACCTTTTCTATTGTATGATACAAAATAAATATATATATTTTAAATTTCCTTTTTTTAATCAGGACATCCCGTGGGGATCCGGATTAGAATAGGTCCTCAGTACCCCTTGCTCGTCGTAAAAGGCGACTAAATGGGGCGGTCTTTCGGATGAGACCGTATAAACCGAGGCCCCGTGTCACAGCAGGTGTGGCACGATAAAGATCCCTCCCTGCTCAAAGGCCGTAAGTACCGAGCATAGGCCTAAATTTGCAGCCCTTCACCGGCAATGGTGACGTCTCCATATCAGTGAAATATTCTGGAGAGGGACGTTAAACAGGATACAATCAATCAATCAATTTAATCAGGACAAATGGACATATTAAATTAAAAACAAGGGTATCCCCTTGCAAAGAGCATATCTATAAATCAATCATGGACCCTGATGCAAATTACATCACTTCTGTTTTGCACAGCAAACTTACCCACGAACAAATGCACACACAATAGATGGTTTTCCTATGATGTATTTTGCCTTGGAGTCATTCCCTTTAACCGCCATCTTGTGATGAATTTTCCTCTTTGAGCAACCAATTTTAAGCATACATGCCAGAAATATAAGGGGGAAAATATTTACAATCTTAAAATTATGAATTAATAGAGGCTTTAACAAATGTATATTCATAAGGAAAATAGTTTTATCTTTACCTCAGTAACCGGCATAAGAAATTGAACTTGAAGGGATCGGGGAGTGATGGTGGCCGTGGGGAATAACTCTTGCTTAAATCACCTCAATCGAAAACTATCTATTGCCACCTCCAAGTCTATTGTGAACAACACGTAATTTGATAATGAAGAGAATCACTGAATTTTAGCCCTACTGGGCAGAGGCTAAAAAGAGCTTATGTGATAATATGGTGTCCGTTGTTGGTCTGTTTTGAACGGAAGCTCATTTAGGACCTATTGAAAAATATTTTTGAATCCCATATAACGAATTGTCGAATCTGTTATAACGAATTTAATTCGTTATAACAATTTCTATGAATTCGTTATAATGAATTTAATCTGTTATAACAAAGAATTACGCACGCTAACTCTCAATTCCCGCCTACATTTTGGAACCATTTAGTTCAATATAAATAGGAATTTGGCCATAAAATCTTTGTTTAATACAAAAAACAGTTTAATGTTAATTGATAAATAGTCTTAATACCAGAGCTAAACAGTAAATTACCAATAATCCCAACCCTTGAAAAAAAGGGGGGTAGACGATATTTTCCAGTTTCAAGTATCATCATATTTTGAAATAGTCTTGGATGTGATTAAATGTACAATGTACCTTATATCTTTTCTTATGTTTTAGGCAAATAAATATAACATAAATATATCAATAAAATACAATGCCTCAGTTGAAAATCGCTTTAAAATTGGCTAAAAATAAACATTTTTATCGTTTTTCGTCAATAAACATATGTTATTTAATTCTGAATTTCACTGTTTTAATATTTTATTAATAATTTATTTTTTCACTCATGTATCATAGCAAAAATTGCATTAAAATAAGACAGTAACACATTTTTGTGTATTTGCGGAGAGAGATAACAGATGCGAGCTCTGAAGATAAAAACTGACTATGGCCACTAGGAGTTGAACTTTTAACCTGGACAGTTCCAAGAAATGATTCATTGGAATGCAGTTGTTTACTTGTTTATCAAAAGAGGTATTTGGTAAGGGTGAAGAAATTTAAAAAGAGACATCTGATTTTAAGAGCCCAATGAACTAGTAGTGTAAATTCCATGATTATAGGTAGAATAAACTCTGTGTAGACTATGAATGCCGCTTCAGACAAGCACAGATGTTAAGAGTCTGTGCTGTTGGTCAGGATGGTTCTTTCTTGTTTAAATTGCGTTGTAAATAATTTATCACCTGAATCATTTTGTATAATTGCAGATCAAAAGAATCTTCAAGGTCAGAAAAAAGTTGTTAAAAATTCAAATTCAAAATAGTTACTGCAAATTTTTAAGGACTAACAAATATGGGGGTGAACGACTTCAAGAATAAAACAAGCGGCCGACAGACACGATTTCAGTGGAAAGCTAAATCGTGACTGTATTGGTTGCATTTTGTAGAGGTGAGATAATTTTGTAGACTTTCGCGGTCATATTATTAAATTTTCACATGGCTTAAATTAATTCATGTACAGGTTACAATCTTTTATATTATAACTAGTAATGTTTAGTATATGTTTAGTATTTTGTAAGATATTATTTATTGTAATCATAACTATATTACAAATGGATTGTTTAATTTAATAAAGAGTGGAAAGCTGAATCGTGACTATCTTGGTTGCATTTTGTTCAGGTTGGGTAACATCTCCACTCCCCAACACCCGCTCAGGTCCGGGCAGGTCCTTGGATTTAAAAGGAATTTGAAATGTCAAGGAATAATAGATCATAAAATAAATAGCTGATTTGAATCATCCCGGAACAGCTCAAAAAAATTAAAGAAGTTATTACACCTGGTGTATCTCCACAGTGGTATCCTACACTGAATTTCATTACATGAGAACGTCTTGGATTTGTCCACTTTAGCTCAAGATCTAGTAAATGAAAGGTGCCTTCAGGTTTCTCTAATTTGAGAAATATATTAAGTCATTTATAATCAAAAATATACGAGGGTCGTTAGAAAAGTTCGCGGACACATTGAATTACGGAAAATCTATTGTGTACTGTGAAGTATGACTTATGTCTGAATAAATTCCTACATTTTGTTTATTGGTTTGTAAAAAGTCAGGTCCATATAATAAAATCTTGAAAATTTACAACGATTTTTACTATGAGGTTATGGGATTCACGGAGCAATCACTTGACGTAAGGCGACGTAACAACCAGAGTTCAACCCGTTATGCTTTGTCGCAGTTCTATAAATCTTTAGTTTTTTCTTATCTTTTTTTCTACTTTAAAATTGAATATCTATATCAAGACATGTTACTTTTCTTCTATAATGTCTTTTGTATTGATTCGGATATTATTGAGATTTTTAAAAAAGTTTATGCAGCTTATCAGTTAATCGATCAGGTATGGAAACTATGCAAAACCATATAGGCGCAACGCAACGTCCATGCGATACGGGGGTATTGAAGTATCACTGGAATTAATCTTTCAAAATGACATTCCTACCATTCTTATGAAGCTACAACCATTTGAAAACTTGTCCTTTTTAGGTGTAGGAAATTCCCGGCAGCATCTTAAACATTTTAATCTCTTTTTTAGACATTTTCAAGTCTGCATACATAATTTTTACGTAGTGCAGTGCTCCATGACGCTCAATGACGTTCCGAATTTTGGCTGTGTTTTTACGCAATGATCATTTACAAACGGCTATAAAACAGTCATAAACCCTCCAATTTAATTCAAAATTTCTCCCAGTGACGTTTCATGAATACTTTAGCGGCAGGTAAAATATCATAAATCTTTATGCGCTACAATTGTGCAATTTTAAATTTTAATAAAGAGTCTTTGTGATGTAAACGTGCCAAAATGGAGCATGCTCCGTGAAGCAAGTTTTATCAAAATAAAAAAGCTATATATTTTTTAATAATTACCGGAGAGAAACAATTTCCTGTATATTTATTGGAAAAAAGGAAAAGATTCTATCTGGAAAGTTTGACCGGTTTCGTGGAAATAGCGCGCTCACAATTGAACTTGTCCGCGAACTTTTCTAACACCCCTCGTATAAATTGAGTATATGTATAAAGAGTATTTTGGCATGATTTTAAATTGAATTCAATGAATTTCAAAATGCTTTTCTATAATTTCTAATATTTACATTTGCCAATGTCTTTCATTATATGATAATACTAAAATAATTAAATTCAATTTTTGATGACATGCAGTCGGTCACATGATCTCACTTTCTTGGATATGGAAAGCAAACTGCACTAGACATTTGGAAAGTTTTGACTGTGACGTCATATGACGTTGTATTTATACGTTATGTTGCATTCAATAAAAAAGTCTAAATAGAGAAAAAGGAAAAGATTCTATCTGGAAAGTTTGACCGGTTTCGTGGAAATAGCGCGCTCACAATTGAACTTGTCCGCGAACTTTTCTAACACCCCTCGTATAAATTGAGTATATGTATAAAGAGTATTTTGGCATGATTTTAAATTGAATTCAATGAATTTCAAAATGCTTTTCTATAATTTCTAATATTTACATTTGCCAATGTCTTTCATTATATGATAATACTAAAATAATTAAATTCAATTTTCAATGACATGCAGTCGGTCACATGATCAGACTTTCTTGCGTGTGGAAAGCAAACTGCACGAGACATTTGGAAAGTTTTGACTGTGACGTCATATGACGTCGTATTTATACGTTATGTTGCATTCAATAAAAAAGTCTAAATAGAGCATTTTGTCTTTGTAATGTTAATAGAAATAAAAATATAAATATAAGAAATAATATATCATTGTAGTGACCTATAAGTCTGCGAACTCAGCTACAGGCCAATACAGGGGCTCGGGAACCACGAGGGATCACTAAGCCAGTATCAGGTTGCAAACTCATTTATTATTAGATCGTCCTTAGTCGTTTCGTACAACACTCCTCCTACTCATAATTTTTAAGAGATGTACAGTGCGTATTATATTTATGAAATAGTCAGCTGGGCCAGAAAAATCAAGCCACTTTGACTATATGCAATTAAAACATCATCAGAAGGGAATAAAAGTTCATTTGGAACACATCCTGGAAGAAAAAGCATAATTATACAAATATAAAAAAACATATAAATCATCTACGGAGGGAGGAGTGGATAAGAAGGAAAAGATATTCAAATACATATAATTCTACTTAAAATTTCCAGTGACATAATGATTAATCGTCCAAAAGACAAAAATCCTTCATCCATTTAGGGGCCTGTCGTTTTCGAGCGGGTCTTTGGCAGATCTCCAGATCATCTGATGGTTCATTCTCACGTCCTTCATTTGTGAGGCCTACGGCATCATCTTCGTAAGAACTGGAGTGCAGTAATTCCTCCTGTACTTGATTATGCAGTTTGGATTCTTTGTCATTGGGTTCTGGGTGAAGAACTGAATGTCGTAGCCTTTTAAGCCATAAAGGTATATCTCTGTCTTGACAAAGTTTTAATCTGTCATGGTGGACCACCTTGTTTTCCTTTTTCCCTTGGATTCTGTATAGCACATAATTAATCTTATAAACAATGACAAAAGGCCCTATCCATGGCTTCCTCAACTTCTTCGATTGGCCTACTTTGGAAGAGATATCCTCCATATATACCACATCACCCACCTCATAGCTTCTTGTGTTTGATTTTATGTCATAGGTCCTCTTCTGACGGAGTTGTGCTTCCCCCAAGTTGTCTCTTGCAGCTTGATGACACACTGAAAGAGCCTCCTCCAAATTATCCACATATCCTGCTGGTTTTTGTCCTGGTATCTTCCTTCCTAACATTATATCTAAAGGTTGAGAGACTTCTCTCCCCAGCATCATTCTGTTTGGTGTGAATCCCGTTTGTCGATTGACAGTGGCACGGATTGCCCCAGCTATTTGTTGGAGGTGTAGGTCCCAATCTTTCTGCTGTGAGATGTTTTCCATATAACATCGGATGGCTTGGAGAACAAGACGATTGTATCTTTCGACCTGTCCATTCGAGCAAGGTCTGTACGGGGTGGTTCTCGTCTTTGTTATCTGGAGTAGTTTACACACTTCCTGAAATAAGCAGCTCTCAAAATTTCTACCCTGGTCAGAGTGAACCTGGAGAGGGCACCCCAATCGAGATACAAAACCTTCCACAAATGATGTTGCTACTGTCTCCGCTTCTTGATCAGGAAGTGCATAACACTCTAACCACTTGGTGAATTGGTCGACTATCATTAAAATGTACTTGTTCCCTTTGCAGGACTCCACAAATGGACCCATCAGGTCAATATGCACTCTTTCTAAGGGTGCTCCAGCATGGTATTGGCCAAGGCCTGTTTTGGCATGTATATTGGCTTTCTTGTTGACATTACATACTGGGCAAGTTCGGACATAAGACTCGCAATCTGAACTCATTCCAAACCAGATATACTTTGATTTCACCTTCTGTAGGGTTTTCTGCTGTCCCATATGGTCTGCTAATTTGTTGTCATGAGATCCTTCTAGAACACGGTTTTGTAGTGAGTTTGGGACCACAAGCAATAGTCGGGACATAGAGCCATCTAACCACTCATAGAAAAGGATACCATTCAAAATTCGTAGTTGAGATGAGCAGTTCCAAAAGTATTTTACAGCTCTACTGGAAAGGGACTGGTCCAGTTCAGTTGGAACATAGTTTTCTGCCTTGTGTTTAAATCTTGCATTTGTGCATCTCTGATTTCTTCATCTGTTAAGGCAGAAGCCCAGTTACATGCATCCTTGTCTATGGCGTTAGGTGTTTTCTTTGGTTTATCCGTTTCTTGAAGGGTCCTAACTGCTGGGGGGATTACATCATCAACATCCTCCTGGAAGCCTTCCCATTGAGCATGCATCCGTCGACAGTAACTGCAGCCCCCACATCACAACCAGCATTGTAGCAGTCACAGGACAGGTCATTTGTTGAAATTCTGGAGAGGCCATCAGCGTTCTGGTGTTTCTTTCCACTTCGGTGCTGGATGGTAACATCATATTGTGATAACTCTTCTAGCCAGCGAGCTAGTTGCCCCTCAATATTTTTGAACCCAATTAACCATGCCAGACTGTTGTGGTCTGTCCGAATAATGAAAAGTCTGCCCAGTAGAGAGTATCGGTAGTGACGAGTAAATGCTACAACAGCTAGCAACTCCCTCCTAGTAACGCAGTAGTTCCGTTGAGTAGATGTCAAGGTCTTGCTGTTAAAACTGAGTAAGACTTCCTTACCACACTGAATTTGGGACAGTTCTGCTACAATAGCCATGTCCGAAGCATCTGTGTCCAATATGAACATGCCATCATCAGAGGGATATCCCAAAACTGCAGGGTTAGTCATTGCCTCTTTAAGGGAAATAAATGCTGTGTCCTTCTCTTTATTCCAGATAAACTTTGTCTTTGGCCCTGTGAGAGTGTACAGAGGTGCTGCTATCTCCGCAAAACTCTTTATATGCTCTCTATGGTAGTTAACATACCCAAGAAATGCTTCAAGGTCCTTCTTGCATTGGCTGTCGGTCATTCTGCCATACATTTCACACTCTCGTTAGTGATGCTGACCCCTTTTTCTGTAACCAAGCGACCAAGAAACTGAAGCTCCTTTCAGAAGAGATGACATTTATTTGGTTTTAGTTTGAGATTATGGGTCCTAAATCTTTCAAATACCGCTCTTAGATTTATTAAATGTTCCTCAAAATTCTGACCTAAGACTATGACATCGTCTAGGTAAGCAAGGTATTCTTTCCAGTTAAGACCTTGTAAAACTAACTGTATCACCCGTTGAAAGGTTGCAGGGCTATTGCATGTTCCAAATGGCATTCGTACAAATTCAAATAGGCCATACCTTGTAATGAATGCCAACTTGTGTCTATCATCAGGGTCTACCTCTATTTGATAATATCCCTGTACCATGTCAAGCGTGCTCATAAAGTTGTTTTTCCAAGAGTGTCTAGACATTCCTCCATGTTCGGGAGTGGGAAAGCATCTTTCTTGGTGACTTTATTAACTCCCCTAAAATCAATACAATACCTAACAGTCCCATCTTTTTTCCGCACCAGGACCGGTGCTGACGACCACTCAGAAACTGATGGAACGATGATACCTTTGTCCAGCATACTTTTCAGATGCTCCTCTTCCTCGTCCTCTTCCTCTGTTTGGAATCCCAGTGGTGTGCGTCTCAATTTGGATTTTACCGGGTGGGCATTGCCAGTGTTTATCTTGTGTTGGTTCCCTTTGAACAGTCCCAAGTCAAAGTCTCCTTTAGAAAAAATGTCTTGGAATTCCCAAAGAAGGTGTTTAACACTTTGACTTTGCTCTGAGGTTAGATCTCTTGTTGATCTATCTGCTAGGTCTATCAAGTGGTCTGGTAATTCGACAGGAAAATGTTCATTTGTCTTGTTGTTGTCTTGTAGTTTTCCACCATTGGCGACTTGGTCCACTTCAGAAACAGTCCCAATCACTACATTTTTCTGAAGTTTAACTGGTCTTGTTGACAAGTTGCGCAAGAGGACTGGCACTTGATCACTGTTATCAACTAAAGCATGTGGTGAAAGCAATCCCTTAACATTATGATATGGTTTGAAAACCAAGGTACCAGCTATGTGTTGGTCCAAATGGCCAAGAACCTGCACTGGGGAAAATGGTTCAACTCTCACTTTTTGACTTAATTTCACTCTAGCTATTTGAACTTGTTTACCTCCTGTATCTAGTAGAGTTGCATTTATCCGTTTGCCACCAAGGACTATCTGTATTTCATTAAGGTCAATGGTAGCGTTTTGTGCCTTTAGAAAATCCAGACCTAAGATGACGGGATCAGATATGTCAGCTATAAGGGCAGTCCAGGTGATGGGGTCTTCTTGTGTGTTCCCAATACAAATCTGAATGTTTTTACAGTAGTTAGCCTCAATAAAGTCAGAATTTCCTGCACCCTTCATGGTTACTTTTTCTCCACGAACTAAGGGTGGGGTGAAGGTGTTGGCGAAAGCTTGGCTGATAACTGTTATCTGGGCTGCCGTGTCAACAATAGCTTGAACAGGTTTTCTGTTAATAGAGATCCCTAGCATCAAGTTGTATGGGTGTGTTTGGCTGTTGTCATACATTCGTATGTCGTAACTGGTTGGACTAGTCCTGGTTTCTCTCCTCGATGATCTAGGGGATGGGGAACGGGACCTGTGTGGCCTTTGGCATTCTCTAGCAAAAGTGACCTGGTTGTCCACAGTTAAAGCACTGTGCTGCTTTGAGTGGTGAAGAGTTGGAAGCAGAACTAGAAGTACTGTCTGTTTTCCGTGGTGGAGATTGTGACCTTGTGGAAAGTTGTTTATTCATTAGGGTGATGATTTTATCCGCTTTAGCGTTGGTCTCCTCCAGCCCACTTTTGAGTTCAGCTATTTCTTCTGAAAGTTTGTCTACTCTGCTTTGGGGTCGTATTGGTCTAACTTCAAATTCATGCAACAAACCCAAGTCACTATCGAGGTCATCCTCTTCAAAACGAACCTTCCTCACCTCCGGCTTCTTAGCGCCTAAGATTAATCTCTAATTATTGAGTGCAGCCTTAACCAACTGTAAGGCCGTCTGAAGGTCAGGAGGATCTTTGTCCATAGTTGTAAGTGCTGCTCTTTTATTTTCGAGGCCCTTCAGGAAAGTGTCAGTAGCTATCGTTTCTTTTACACAGTCTGGAGCCTGTCGGTAACCTTCACTTACCATCTCCTGGATTTTTTCTGCAAATTCATTAACAGATTGGTCACCTTGCTTGATATCCTGGAGATTCCTCCTAATTGTGTGAGGGAGATCTCGCTGGCCAAATCTTGTTTTCATCTTTGCACAAAGTGATGAGAAACTGCTCTGTACTTGGGCTGAACATGTACAGTAATACGTTAATGCTTTGTCACGCAAAGATTCAACTAGGCGTTCCAGTCGTTGTTCACTGTTCCAGTTACATCTTGTCGCTATCATGTTGAACTGCACAATGTATGGACTCCATTCCGATTTTCCATCGAAAGTAGCCATCTTTGGTGAGGGAGGACCCATAGTTTGATAATTGGTCATGAGATTGGGCTTCTGTCCACTTTTCACTTTTTGTGAATTTCCATCTGTGGTTACCTTAGCAGCAGTGTTCCCACTGGTCGGGCCACACAAAAGCCAGCCACAATTAGCAGTAGCACTGTCACTAGGTAACGAGGTGTTTTCCTTTTTGATGTCCATTTTAGGTTTCATCCATGGATTACCACCACCATAAACACCATGTGGAGCCAAATTACCGACAGCATTTTCATTTATTTTCAGTAACTTTTCTTCATATGTTTTTCTCAGGTTTTCCTCAAATTGTGTTTTCATTAGTTCATAGTGTTCTTGCGAAGCCTTCATTTGCTCCTTAAAATCGCTCGACATTTTTTCCATTCGGTCATCCCATTCCTTTTTAAGTGCCTGAAGTAACTGTGGTGGTGTGTCTAGAGATATTTTTTCTTCATCCAATAGAGTTCTTATGGTACTATAGGTGCTCTGTAGGAATTGGCGTATGTCATCTTCTGTTATAAAGCCCTTTTCCTCCCGTAGTTTGGGGATAGCTGTGGTTCCGTGCTGACCAATTCAGGTCCTCATAAGACGCAGTATTCAAGTTTATGGCAGGCATTATTCTATTGATTTTAAATCCTCCTCAGATACTTGTATGTCCAAAATGTCTTCTGGTAAAACTCTGAAACAACTTCTGTTAATGTCCTCAGTCAACCCTCTGCTCCAGATCAAGGCCAATTCTATACCTGGATGGATGCCGTCGTAAAAAACAGAAAATTTGTAAGAAATCCTTACACCGTTGTTCTTCTTCTTGCGATTGTCTGTGTCCTTGCGTCTGCGTATTATGTCCTTATCAAATCGCAAAGTAGATTGTCCAATTTCTGAATTTAATGCACGAATATTTGCATTTAGAGCTTCCACTTGCCTGCAAATTTCAATGTCTTGGTTTTTGAATACGTCTGGATTGGAATGACCTTTGTGCCGATTATATGCCACAATTGAGTAGCACGGTATTTCAATGAATTTGGAACTTGGATACAATTGTTATGGCTCTTCGGTATTGTGCCGTAATAGTATCTACGACGGTATTGTCCCAGCAGCGAACTTGAGTAATTTTCCCCTCTTTTCTGGTAATGTCACAAGTCCCAAGCCAAATGTAAATTAGTGCTGAACCAAAGTCTCTGGACTCCAATCTATGTTCAAGTTGATCTATGGCCTTTTCAGATTGCAGGCCACTTTGGCACCAAAACTCGACAAATCTCAGGGGGTCTTATTTTTAATAGCAAAACCTTTGCTGTCTGACAGAAGAATTGGTGTGACACAGTGACCCTTAAGGTGTTGTTAGTGGCTTGCGGAGAAAAGCTTGTATTTTTGGTCCAGAAAATGACATGAACAAAATAATATGCAATATGATTATATGAAGATTGAAGGGTTGAATACAAAAATAATATGACTTATGAAATTAGAAATTCAAACAAAAACTCCAAAATAAAATTTCTATCGCAATCGAAAGATATCGCAAAAATTTGTATGTAACTGAAAATGAAATTTCGAATTGTGACAGCTATGGGTTTCCGTACCCAAATTTACAAATTAAAAATCAATACCGACGCTAAATGGAGAATGAGATAGAATTTAAAAAAAATTAAAAATGATTGTCAAATAGTAGCGTAGTAATAGTCACACTTGATAAATTAATTTCTCCTATACTGCGAGAAACCAAGTTTGACAAAACGCGGGAATATCCGAGTTTCCTCGATACTATTGTCCTACGCCAATCAAAATACAAGAAAAATCAATAAAAGGATATGTATATTTTTCAACTGGACGTAGAATCGGTCACTTCTGACACCAGTTGTTGTGACCTATAAGTCTGCGAGCTCAGCTACAGGCCAATACAGGGGCTCGGGAACCACGAGGGATCACTAAGCCAGTATCAGGTTGCAAACTCATTTATTATTAGATCGTCCTTAGTTGTTTCGTACCACATCATTTTTAGAGTGTCAATGGGATATGACATGAAGTCAGTAGGTGATCAAATCTACTATAACGTCCTTCGGGCGTTATAGAATTTGATCACGTGACCGACTTCATGTCATATCCCAATGACACTCTAAAAATGATATCTTATTTCTTAATTGAAGGTGTAAAATACGGGAAAAGTAATATTAAATTGATTATGACGTCATAATGGATCTAGCACAGGGTAAACCCATGATGTCATATATGACGTAGCTTCTACGTTAAATGAACATGTTTGTTAAAGCGTACATTTTTTCAGAAAAGTTCGATTTTCATATAGAATGGGTTCAAATTCCATTTTTGGACAAATGAAATAGATTTCACATTTATGTTCCCATCATTTAAGTGTTGACGAAAAATAGAGACTTGACCCATTCATGTTCAAAACTCATTTTTTTATGGCTCTTGTAAACCCGTTTTTCACTAAATATGCCTAACTGTCAACCTTGATGAAAAGATTGTCAAATGATAATTCGTTCAGTAAAATAAAATAAAATGTTTGGAAGATGACATTACTGAGAACATGATTTAAGAAAAATATAACTTTTCCTTGAATTTTGAAAATATATTGAAAACATATTGTCTCAGAGCGGGGGATTGTTTAAGCATTGTACACTCCTTTCTTTCCTCTGAGAGTCCACGTTTTAATACTCAGGCTATGTGAAACTAGAATCTTCTTGAATTTTGAAGAAAATGAGTGAATTCAAGTTGAGTATTTTAAACTATTGATTAAAATATGAGCCCACCCCGCGATCCAAAAATTGTTTTATGGATTAGAATCTACCGAAACAGTTCTCTCATTATATATAGACAAACATTTTAGATCAGAGGTTGGGGGGGTATGCATAATATTCAAATGGCTTAAAATTTTGGCCATTTTTAAAGACATTTTCAAAATTTGAGGAAAGTGACACAATTCATGACGTCATAATATATGGACAAGAGAAAAAAATTACGTCATTTTTATGATATGAAGCCACCAAGAGTCCAAGTGAAATTTTACATATTTTCAACGAATAATAAGCAGTTCTGATTTTTCAGAAATACACAGGGCAAAAAAGGCCCAAGGTGAACCTTGATCTTTATCATTATTTTTAAGAAAATAGGGATTTTATTATACTCGTATGTGCATAAGATATGGTCTTATGGCACATAACCGAATGATTAGGGATTTATCAGGGAATATGAAAGTATTGTTATGAAATTAAAAAAAATTCAAAAATAAATAAGGTTCGGATAAAATTCATATTTTCATTGATCACTATCTATATCGTTATCTGGAAAATTTCAATGAATTTGCTTAATTTTTGCTGTTTTCCGAGACTTTAAAATATGAAAGTGGTAGGTGCATCACACAAAACATTACTAATGCAATAGAATACAAGTGGAATTGGCATTTTTGAAGTGGAAGCTTTTTGATCGATTCTCCTGGTAGATTACTGATTAAAACAATTAGTACATGCAGTCAGCTGGTGCTTGGGCTTTACCAGGTTTACCAGGGTATTTAACAGGTATATCCATTGACACAAGCCTTTTCTTTGAGTCACAACATTTTTGATCTCTTGGCCTTTGAGTTTGACTTACATTTGAGAAACTTGAACCTTTGTAATAAGCTTCCATAGGGGGTATCGGTGTTTCACCAACAATTCTCGGTTTGTTTGTTTTTTCAGAAATAAGGGGAATCTCGACTGTGGGCACCAATAAAATTCTTGGATTTTAAGCAGGTTTTTTTCCAGATTTTTAGCTCAAGTGAGCTTTTCTGATCACCCGTTCGTCGTCCGTTCGTCTTTCTGTCCGTCCATCAGTAAACTTTTCACATTTTCAATTTCCTCTCAAGAACACCGGGGTCCTTTTTAACCAGAATTAGTACAAGGCAACCTTGGATTTAGGGGAATTTAAGTTGTTAAAATAAAGGGCCAAGCCCCGTCCTAGGGAGAGATAATCAAGAGAAGACAAAAATAGGATGGAGTCCTTAAAAAAAATCTTCTCAAGAACCACTGGGCCAAGAAAACTGAAACTTATGTGGAAGCATCCTGGGGTAATGTAGATTGGAAATCCAATTTTTACA